TTTTCAATATAAAAATTCGCATTATTACACTTATTGTGAAATATAACCCAGAAGAAATTTGCGTTTCAAAAGTACTTATGTTTAAAAGCTGATTAATTATTTTGCCTTAATATATAATATATATTATGAGCGCGAGCGTGGTATGATAGATATCGCACCGGTCTACTATGCTAGTGGTCCCGGGGTTCGATTCCCAGCAGAGCCAGAAAATCTTTCATATCTCATTTCATGTTCGTGTCTCCTCTTCGCTGGTCTGGCAAACCACTAGAGTATTCATACCAAGAAAACAACATACCTCTCTCCAAAATTTGCCGTTCGGAACCGGCGTTTAAACTGTAGGTCCCCCCATATACATGTGTACAACCTGCGTGCGCACCACGTGGCATATATGTGAGAGAGAGGTAGGCCTAGGCTCGACATGAGGCTTGGAGCGCCATGAATTTATCACTTAAATTTAAATATATTTTCAAAATAAAAATTCACATTGTTACACTAATTGTCTTGTGAACTATAACCGTATAAGATATATATCATCCCATGCTTTTGGATGTCATTGTGAATAAAAGATTGCGCGGACGTATAATTGCAAAGAGGATTAACGTTCGCATCGAACACTTGACGTACTCTAAATGCCGCGAAAATTTCTTGAAGTGCATTAAGGAGAACGAGAGATTGAAGAAAGAAGGCAAGGAAAAGAACGTGCGTGTTCAGCTAAAGAGACAGCCAGCTGAATCATCGAAGGCGCACATAGTATCAAGACGCGATAAACCCGAAATGCTTGCACCTATCGCATATGAATTTATCGCTTAAATGTAAATAATCACATTTTCAAAATAAAAATTCGCATTATTACACTTATTGTGAAATATAACCCGGAAGAAATTTGCATTTCAAAAATATTAATGTTTAAAAGCTAATTAATAATTTTACCTTAATTATAGTATGTATAATACAGTAGGAAAAGAGAAAGTGGCCTATTTTTCTCATAACAATATTTTTATTCTCAGTCATATTTTCTTTACATTTGTATAGAATCTGATAGTGCTTCCAACGTTTCTATAACACTGGACACGCAAGTTTTCGCAGTAATGCAAATAATCAAGTTCATTCTCTTCCAGACACAGACTAGTACCGGGAATATAAATAAATATAAAACAGTACGTATAAACTGCTCGCAATTTTTCTCTCAACATTAAACAATCGGTGGCTTATGAACGAAAAGTTCTAAAGAAAAAAAAAAACTTTAGAATTACTTTATAGTCGAAACTATAAAGCGATAGCTCTTATAGCTGAAAATATATCGCCACTTTCTATATTCTAGCATCCGAAAACGTAACCAAACGTACTTGTATACAATTCTCATAAATAAACTGACATGCCATTAAAACATTCAAAAATTCACATGCACCGTATTTTGTCAAAATATGAAATTAGCGTATAGGAGTGCTTAACTTCTCAATTACTATTTATACTAAACTTTAACTACAATCTCGCGATTGATAGAACAGAATGTAACCAGTTTCAGAGCTTTTCTGAATATCTGATGTGAGTCCATAAAAATCTTCTATAGTTGACGCATCAATTTTCTGAAAAAAAAAAATTGAATCAATCATGTATTTTGCTTTCTAAATTCTTAATTGCAATAGTGTTGAAGAAAATAATATATTTCTCTTTCGCATGCGCAACATAACTGTGAGACACTTACATCGACCATATCATCGTCAAAGAGCAACCAGAATCCATGGCTTTTAACTATAGAAATGTAATGCCCCCTGTTAGGCCCACTCCCACAATGTATCACAACTGCCACCAAATCATATAAACGATCTGGATTTACAGCATCATCGCTCTATTGAAATGAGAGATTTAGCGATATAAGATGTTAAAATTACATATTATGACATGCATAATATCAAATATTACAGTCAAGAACATGCGTCAAGTTTATGCGTAAACTATTGTTTGTAAGAACTTCATTTAAAAACGTTTTTATTAAATTCTTGAATATAAAGGATAGAGGAATATTTGGCCTGTTCTTTTTGGCTGCACCGCTGAACTAGTGCAATAAGTTGAAGCGAGACAAGTATATGTTTTCTTACTTCAACTTATTTCAGCAGTTCAGCTAAAAAGAACAGGCTAATTGTCAGAGGAAACTTACGGTATTGAAAAGTCTGAGCTCCAATGGAAAGACTACCCTGTGAGATACTTTTATATGACGATTATACTGCTCCACGTATTTAAACCTTTTCAGATGCAATGCTAAGATCATAGGTAGCTTTTTAACTCTCATCCGTTTCTGCAATTCAAAATAGCAGTGTCGGTTTTGACGGAGTAATTTGCAAAGGAAAATGACACTTGAATTTTGCCGAGTTCAGATTCGAACTCGCTTCAGTCACTTTTTGTTCTCACGGTATCGTTAATACCTGAGCTTCTTGGTAACTGCTGCAATGATCGCATTTAAATTTGTTGTCACTACACAGGGTCTCTGTATTGGAGAAGCATCTGAGGCAGTGTGTGATCGAAGTATTCTGGTCTACATCGACCTGCAGATCGAAGAAGTCCTCGTCTTTGCTAGATACAGTCTCACAGTTAAGGCAGCGTGTTTCCGAGGTCAGTATTCCTTGGAATATCTCGTGAACCCAAGTAGGCTCAGGTGGTGAACCAGCATCCCCTGCCCCACACTTTCCACCGGCTGGCTTGCTCTGAGTTCTCTCCGCTAATGTGCCAGATTGAAATTGTAGAAAGATCGCAAGCAGGACCAATGCAATGTAGAATGAATGAAAAACTTACCCAGGATAATTTCATTTATGTGATTTATGAGGAAATTCAGGAACTCATGTGCATCTTGTTGCATGTAATTATCAAATTCCTCTGGAAAAATAATGAAATTGGAAAAAACCACATTCTCTTAAGAACAAGTACAAGCACATTGTATAAAATTTCTTCTTTCCTCATTGCACCAACCTTTCTCTTTTCTCAATCTGGCGATAAACTTCTTCGGTGCTATAGAACCTACTTTCTTCTTTTGAGTTGCAATACTGTAAAACAGGTCTGCTAAGCATGTTAACAGTGTCTCCTTGGTTCTCTTGTTTCTAGCTTTATATTCTAAAACTTTTTCTCTAAAGGGCCGACAAAAATACAAAGCCTGTAATACCGAGTTGCTGTAACAAGTGTTACCAAACTGCAAAAATATATTTTTATTAGGAATGCAACAGGAGTACTTATGAGTAAAAGGATCTTAATTCTTGAATTAATTCTAATCATAAAGCATACATTGATACTTACGTTAACTAAGCCAAAATAATGTTCATTGGGTGGAAACTGGTCAGAACCAATATCTCTTTCCAATTGTGATATGTTTGCACCCTAAAATCATAGATAAAGATATTGAAATAAGTTTTACATCATTCTACATACATGCACGTACATGCTCATTGAGATAATTTTTACATTTCACAAAATGAGCTTATGAAAAGTATGAAGTGTGTGAAACCGCGGTGGTACGATTAAAGATAAAATCGTGACATCATTATAACTCATAAGAAAGTACAATCGCGAGAACGTAGATTCGCTGATACGTAAGCCGAGAGAGTGTCGGAGCTGCGTGATTATTCGTGTCCACGCTATATATTTCCGTTTGCATGCTTTCGCGCACACTTACCATTTTACGATTCAGTAAGACGAGCGGAACACTGACAAGCACTTAGCACGGACTTCAACAGCGGCATAAACTCCATCGTATCGCGGACTTGCAGAGATTTATCGGCTAGAATGTTTCCATCGAATAGATCATTACTGTGCCGCTTTGATAGCGCTTCCCGGCTCGTTCCACGTGTCAAACGTGAGAAACGTCACCGCGACGTCGTGCCCGCGAGCAATTTCGAGCAATTCCAAAAATCGAGAGTCGCAATCGTACAACGATCGCGCCCCGCGTCGCGTAGCACACTTCGCTCCAACAACCAATAAACTGGAATGAACCTAATTCCGCTTTCTCGTATTCCCGAGCGCGAGTTCTCCGCGAGCAGCCAATACGTACACTCCGAGATAGAAAGGCTCGGGGACACTGATTTCGAGACGCACTTCGAAAAGAATCCGCTATCCAATGAGAAAATTTATCTTCTCCAGAATTACGCAAAAATAAATTCTCCTATTGGTTATCGGCCGCGTTCCGAAATGCACCAAGGAGGAGGAGGATTCAAATCTTTTGTTTCCGAGTGTACAGCAAACCCTATTAATGCTACCCTATTCCCTAGGCATCTGATTGCTGTATTTCTAAAAACACCATAAATTTCATCTATTAGCGCAGCTAGCTCAGCAAACAGAACAGACCAATGGACTTTCAGTACCAACATTGAATATCGGAACACAACCCGTATATTAAGCCCGCGTCAGACGATACCTGTTTTCTTCATAGATTTAGCAATATACTAGAAACTAACCAATCAGAACGCAACATTTCAAGTATGTTATTAGATCTATCGAGAAAATAAACATCGTCTGATGTAGGCTTTAATCTAACCTCTCTTGAAATATTCAATATACAGATTTTTTTTTATACTGTTATAACTTTACAGTAGTGACATGTTACGAATATTCCACGTTGCGAATCGCAAATGTCTTCTCAGCTGTAACTTACACTTGGCGGTAAATCCCAACAGTATCTGTTGAATGAAAGCATATCCGAAGTCAAACATTTTCTCAATTTATCAGATTTGGTTTTTCCGTCGCAGTTTATAGAATTATATAATTGCTTGACCGTGCCGACCTCTATAAAGGTATTTCGTTTCGCAGTGCGTACGTGCTTCGGCGGAAAGTGACAAGGACTTTTCGGAGAAACTGGCTGATGGCCCGCAATTTGAGGACTTCCTCACGAACGATGTCAAGAAGTATAATGGAAAATTGAAATTGGAAAAGGGCGAGTCGACGCGACTGAGGTTACCACCATGGCTCAAAACGGAGATACCTATGGGCAAGAATTACAGCAAGATAAAAGCACAATTGAGGCACTTGCGTTTGAGCACAGTCTGCGAGGAAGCTAGATGCCCGAATATTGGGGAATGCTGGGGTGGAGGTAGTCATGGTACAGCAACTGCTACCATTATGGTTTGTTTAGCAAACAAAATTTTCTTTATATCCATATTGCATGATTAACACTGGAATGAAGATTGATTTTTTTGAGAAGCAATATGAATAATATGTTTGTTCGTTGAAATATCCATATCATTATCGAGACAGCAATAATTAATTGTTCAGTTGATGGGAGACACGTGTACTCGTGGTTGCCGTTTTTGCTCTGTCAAAACTGCACGAACACCACCACCATTGGATACGGAGGAGCCAGTCAATACTGCCAGTGCGATAGCAGACTGGGGTTTAGACTATGTTGTTTTAACATCTGTCGATCGCGATGGTTAGTTGTCTGTATTGTTTTTATGACATGATCGGAAATTGTATTGATATAAAATATATAATTTAACATATGTTGATTACATTTTAGATTTAAAAGATGGCGGAGCTAGTCATATCGCATCTACTGTCAAAGAGATAAAGAAGAGGTATCATATTTATAGATAATAAATATAGATATATATAAATATAGAATAGATAATATAGATTTCCTAAAAAGTTCGAATTTTGTGGCCTTTCGCTCAAACTGTGCGATATTTGCTAGAGTAATTCGTTTGTATGTATCTTATTATAGAAATATTTCATTGTAGGAGCAATATCTTGGTGGAATGCCTGGTACCAGATTTTAAAGGCGACGAAGATTGCGTCGTCACGATTGTCAATTCCGGTTTAGACGTGTTCGCGCATAATATTGAAACAGTGGAACGTTTGACTCCTTTTGTCCGAGATAGACGCGCCCGGTACAGGTATGACTGCTGACACATCACTTGTAATCTTATAAAGTTGCCTTATAATCTTACGCGTCTATTAATTTAAATTCAAAGTGTCGTTTATTATAATAGGCAGTCATTGGCTGTGTTAAAAGCAGCTAAGAAGTTCAATTCTAACTTGATCACTAAATCGTCGATAATGTTGGGCTTGAGTGAGACCGATGATGAAGTCGAGCAGACTATGCGAGATCTGCGGGACGCCGGTGTGGATGCTCTAACGTTGGGACAGTACATGCAACCTACCAAGAGGCATTTAAAAGTCATCGAATACGTAACACCCGAGAAATTCAAATCATGGGAAAATATGGGGAATCAACTGGGTTTCTTGTATACCGCCAGTGGTCCGCTAGTGCGATCGTCATATAAGGCCGGAGAATACTTCTTGATGAATATTTTAAAACAACGGAAGAAGCAGATTGGTGACTGCGATATGTCGAAGATTTAATGAAAGAAAGATTTGTAGTCCGCTACATAAGAAAGGAAATTTAGAACTCGGAAAACGTAGTCGAAAATTGTATGTGATAAAATTTATCACATGGGGAGAGAAAAATGTTATATCGCAATTTAGCCATATAAAATAATCGAATTCGAGCTGTAAATAAACCTACGGTAAATAATCCAGTCTATTTATCGTGCTATTTACTTTGTTGTTACAAAACGTTGAAATCAATTCAATAATAAAATGCAACTTTAATTCTTATATGAATTGTATACGATAGACAGAAAGAGAGAAAGAAAATGAGACGGATACAGTTAATATTATTATTTAATCTGTATCCATAGCGATAGCAACTTGAGGTTCCTGCGGACCCTCATCGGCAGGTGGATCCTGCGGAGGTCTACTATCATCTTGCACACTCGGCTCTACAGGTCTGCCGCGTTTATCATCTCCTTCGATCTCAGACAAGTAACTAGCTGTCGCGGCTTCGTTGAGAATGGCGAAATCGTAATCCTTTCCTACTATCGAGATGGATACGTTCTGAAATGCACAATTTCGAAAAATTTATTTTTCCTCAAAAACGCAAGATTTAATATTGTATTATAGAATATACAGATCATGATTGTGTTTTGATTATTGAAATTGCTGCGAAATTTACAACGTGTCAAAGAAACCGTAATACTGCAGCAAAGTTTATTTACCTTCACAGATAAATCGACTTCATTAGGCAGAGTATCGCGTAACGCCCTGAGACCGTGTTTTACCAATTCGTCGAGATCGCACGATAAAAATTCACTCAAATGTTTCTCTAAATACGTCCTGGCACTTTGAGAACGAGATCCTATAGCCATTGCCTTGCAATCGAAGTAATTCGCTGAAGGACACGTCTGATATATGTGTGGTCCCTGATCCTATAAAGATAAATTATCGCTAAAGAAGTGTATATATAATACTTAATACCACAACTTACTATGCAATCATTTTGATTAAAATAATTATCACTATATAGATATACAGAGTAAGTTGGTCCATGCTGATGTAGGATATCCTGTATAATAATTATAAATTAGAAACTAAATTGTTAACATAAATTCTTACGTCATATCCTGCTACGAGTAGACCAACGCCATACGGACGCCTATCGTATCTCTGTGTGCATGTTTGCATTTTATTTCCCAATGATGCAATCAAACGACCCACAGGTAGCGTGTCATCGTGGGAATACTTATAATTCAAGCATTCAGTACGCATGTAACGGCTGTAATTAAGTAATATCTTGTTACAGACAACTGTGATAATTAATAATTGACATAACTGATATACCTCAAAATCCTTGCATCAGCGGTCAAGCCAGAGATGCTAATTCCCATATGCTTATCTATCGGTATAATCTTCTTCTGATAGGCTGATAATTCTGAAGATGCTCTCTTCAAAGCAATGAGAACAGCATGTGTTAAATTTTTCAAGCCTACAGTAGCTGATCCTAATTTTACTGCTTCCATGGCATATTCTACTTGATGTAGGCGTCCTTGTGGACTCCACACTGTCACATCACTGTCGTATTGGTTACGAAACTAAAAAAGAAAATAACGTCAAATCGCTAAATGAATTTCGAGATTTTTTATATCCTATTAATTTGAATACTGTTATATCATTTTCATTATGAAATTAAAATTAAGAGTTGTATGTAACAATTCCAATCCTAAAGTGTTAATATTTGTAATTGTGAGTTAAATAACGTTACAGCACTTTTGCAAGATAATATTTTTTTCAGTTTTTCGAGAAAATATTTTTATTAGGAAATTATAGTGTCTCGTAATCATATACTGTTACAAATTTGCATAACCACAAAACATAACCACAAAACTCACGACACTCGGGCACAATATATAAATTCTTATTATATACTGTCAATCAATCGAAAAATGTCAAACATGGATCAATCTAACATTTAACAATCAATTAAATACCTACCATTTTCACTAGTAGATTCTCTAAA